GGGGGGACAGAGGACAACGGTAGCTCAGGCTCAGGGCCAAATCGTCCAGAAGACCTGAGAGTAAAGATTCCCTTGTTGTAGGAGACCCCTAGCTGGCCCCCACACTAACAAACTAGCCCCTGCTTTACAAAAAAAAATGTGGGGGTGGGTTTTGAAAGGTGAGAGCCACTAGGGCAGCCGTGGGCAAACTACGGCCGGCGGGCCGGATCCGGCCGTTTGAAATGAATAAAACTAAAAAAAAAAAAAGACCGTACCCTTTTATGTAATGATGTTTACTTTGAATTTATATTAGTTCACACAAACACTCCATCCATGCTTTTGTTCCAGCCCTCCGGTCCAGTTTAAGAACCCATTGTGGCCCTCGAGTCAAAAAGTTTGCCCACCCCTGCACTAGGGTGAGTAGGAGGCCAGCCCTGTACTCAGAGGGTTTCACCTGACTGTGTCCACACAGGCAGGAGCTCATGGACACAGCCCCCTCCCCACTCCTCTCACCTGGCTGTGCCTGGGCCCCCAAACTTAATACAGGCAGTTCTCAGTAGCTGATCCCAAAGTGCTGCGGGCAGCAGAAGGAAGCCCCCTCCCCCGTGGTCCCGGCTGTGCCTGATGGGGGGCCTCTCGGTGGGTCCTGTGGGCCTCACCCTGGATGCACAGTCCTCCTCCTATAGTTCAGCCATGCAGAGCAGGGGAGGAGCAAACCCCACTTCCATCCAATTCCTTTGGGGTCTTAGACCCACAACACAGTAACAGTGGAGAATGCAATAAGCATTTTGAAATCCCATGTTTAGGAATCATTTGTTTTGGAAAATACAAAATAGCTTTTACTTGTCCCCCACCCTGGGTCATTTTACACCGGCTAGCTGCCCCAGAAAGGCATCTGCTAGCCCAGCCCTGGCTCTGCAGCACAGACAGGAGGGCATGGCCCAGACTGTGTCCTCTCCATCCCACCAGCCCCCTGAGGGCCAGCCCAGCCCAGCTGGGAGGTGAGCTGCAACCTGGTGAGCTGTATCCCATTATGTAGCTGTCCTCCAGCCCCTGAGGATCCCATAAAAACCTAGACATGTGGCTGTGGTGGGCTGAATGGTGCCCTCAAATATGTCCAACCAGAATCTATGAATGGGAGTTAATTTGGAAAAAAGTTTGTGTGGATGTAATTAAGTTAAGAATCTCTAGATGAAGTCATCTGGATGAAGGTGGTCCCTAAATCCAATTGTCCTTGTAAGAGAAGACACACAGGAGTTGTATGACCACGAAGGCAGAAACAAGAGCGACACTGCCCCAAGCCTAGGGCCACCTGGAGCCTCCAGACGCCGGACACGGAGAAGGATCCTTCCCCGGGCCTTTGGAGGGGCACAGCTCTGCCCACACCATGACTTCAGACTGCTGGCCTCCAGAACAGAGAAAATAAATTTCTGTTGTTTTAACACCCACCCTCCACCCCAGTTTGTGGTCCTTTGTTACAGCAGCTCCAGGACACTAACCCAGGGCCAATCCCTTGGAGGGTGAAACTGACACCAACCCACAGGAGGGGATAGGCAGCTCCATAGGCTTGGTGGAAACCACACTTGCGCCCACTCCATGGCAGCTGGTTGACTTTGGGCAAACCTGTGGGGCTCTGCACCTGTTCCTGCTCAGGTAAATGGGTGCCCACACACAGTCACAGCGTCACAGCAGCTGCAGGGGCCAGCCGGCCGACCTGGCCACAGGAGCCGTGGCCCTCCATGGGTCCTCAGCCGGCCCTTGAGTACCGACCCCCACCCAACGCGTGCAAACTCTGGCATTGCACATGGGAAACGCACGGTAAATACTCGCTAATGATGATGATGAAACAATTTGCAAAATGTGCGAGCAGGCACACAAGAGGGAGGCATAATGTTGGCTCTAGAGCTTGGGGACCCAGTCACGTAGGCACTCCTACTGGGATGGCTGGACCAACAGTTCAAGCCTGGACAGACCAAAATGTACTTACTGCCTGGCCTCTTGGGACCACTGTGGGGCAGCCAAGTTGAGCGGCAGCCTCTAGCCCCCTCGTTTTTTTAAAATCCTCACCCAAAGATAAGTTTGTGTTTGTTTTTTAATATATTTTTATTGATTTCAGAGAAGAAGGGAGAGGGAGAGATAAAAACACCAATGATGAGAGAGCATCATTGATCGGCTGCCTCCTGCACGCCCCCTACTGGGGATCAAGCACGCAACCGGAATCAAACCTGGGACCCTTCAGTCCAAAGGCAGAAGTTCTAGCCACTGAGCCAAACCGGCTAGTCCCCAAAGATACATTTTTATTGCTTCTTGGAGAAAGAGGAAGGGAGAGAGACAAGGAGAGAAACATCAATGTGAGAGAGAAACATTGATCAGTTGCCTCCCATATGCGCCCAGACTGGGGATGAAACCCACAAGCTCAACCAACTGAGCCACCCAACCAGGACTAGACCCCTCATTTTTAAAATAGTTTTACTGAGATATCAGTTCACATATTATAAAATTTGCCCATAAAAATTGAGATCTATCTTGCGTATCTACATGTCAAACTCCTCCCCTCCAGCGTTGGGGGAACTATAACCTCCCGTCCCCAAATGGAGACCATCCTTTGCCCCACAGTCAAAGCCCAAGCGCCCTCCGCTGTAAATCCTTTCCATCAGGCCAGTGTAACGGATCCTGGTCCTGCCCCCAACCCCAACAGCACTCGTTACCGTCACAAATTTTTTGCAAACCTACTCTGGGGCATTTCAGTGAAACTAAGTTTATTTTGTGCTCCACCGGTTATAATAACTAGTGGGATCGTTCCCATTCCAGGCATCACGTCTCAGACCTTGCTCAGGTACAGCCAGGACAGGGGGACAGGTGTTGCTGGGAAGCCTACCTGGGGCAGCTGCTGGCAAATGTCCTCTCCTGGGAGCCAAACAGAGTGGTTGCTGGGCTTGAAGAGGTCGCACCAGCAGGTGGTCTCGGCTCCCTGGATCGTGAAGTAAACCCACAGGCAGGTGCAGGAGTTACCAGGTAGTGGTTGACATCAGGGCAAGAACCCCAAGAAGCGCAGGCGCCCAGCCCGGGCGGGCCCCCCAGAAAGTCGGGATTACCGCCAACACTCTGGGGCTGAGCCAGCTGGGGCCCAGGGACGGGCTCGACCACTGGAGTTTTCTGCAAGGCCCTAACAAAAAGTGACAATTAAATGTATAACTGGCCCTGACCGGTTTGGCTCGGTGGATGGAGCGTCGGCCTCCAGACTGAAGGGTCCCGGGTTCGACTCCAGTCAAGGGCATGTACCTTGGTTGCGGGCACATCTCCAGTAGGGGGTGTGCAGGAGGCAGCTGATCGGTTTCTCTCTCATCGGTGTTTCTAACTCTCTATCCCTCTCCCTTCCTCTCTGTAAAAAATCAATAAAAAATATATTTTTAAAAATGTATAACTGTACTTGGCACGTTTAATAGGTGGTTTAAGAATTGTGTCCGACAGCAGCAGTCCTGTTTCGGGTTTTTTAATCTTACAGGCAAGTGGAGTCTTCCCAGGCCGGTCTCCAAATAGCAGGAGAGGGTGCGGAGGCCTCCCAGGAGCTCCGGGGCCGCCCAGACCCCAGGCCCTGCACCGAGCAGCGGAGAGGGGGGACCGCTCCCCGTCGCCGTCCCTTTCCTTTGCTTCGGGAACTGGCGCCCTGTGCGCAGGCGCCTCCGAGTTCTCGGGCTGCCTGCGAGGCTTGACCGAGGGAAGCAAGGCGGCGGCCTCCGCGAGCTCCCGGGCGGGAGCCCCGGGCCGCACACCCGCGGGCAGGTGAGCCCCGGTGGAGGAAGGGAGATGTCCTTCGTGCCCACGCGGACCCTCCGCCCGTGCCCGGTGGGCGGGGAAAGTGCCGGCGAGAAGTGGGCTCCTCCGGGGCACCGGCTCCGCCAGCAGGGGGCGCGCGCCCTCCAGGCGTACGTCCGCCCCGGGCAGGCGCG